CGTCCCCGACACGTCTCGCTTCCGGCGTCTCATTACAAGGCCCCGCTCATCCAAATTAGGTCACCGCTCTCCCCAGCCACAGATTCCTCTATGCGACCAATTTTTGATTCCAGTTCGAGTCTACATATCGATTTTTACCACCCAATTCCACATCCACAAGACAACACATAGAACTAGCCCACACATTTCTTACACAACAGACTTCTAACATTTTTTCACAACACACACAAAGACAAAAAATTACACATAAAGGTTATATAGATTTCCATGTCTCCTGTACACACAGCATAAACGCACTTGAGGGCTAGAATCACGTTTTTCACCTAAGTGTCGCTACAGATGAGACAAAAAAAATTTATAGGGCATAATTGAGCAATTAAAACATTTATAGGGCAAAATGGAGCAATCAATACATTTAGATCAGGGCATGTAGATACCAAAGGGTTCAAACCAATACACCTTATTTTTCATATCAATCATTTTCATTATTTTCTCTCAATTAAAAATGTAAATATTTAATCAATTTCTCAATTTATTCAATTTAGCATCACTTTTAATCATTAATTATCATATATTTACCACTTAGTTATGTTATCATAGTTTCCAATCAACAAAAACTCATTGGTTTTCTTTCAAAATTGGATATTATATTTCATTTTAATTTACAAAAACATTCTTTTTTTTTCTATCCTTTTTCCACCATGCAACCAAGCATTTACTTTGATTTCTCCCAACTTTTATACTATTTTTGATTTCCTCCAACTTTTTATTTTTAATTATTTTTTGATTTCTCAAAAGCCCTAATAAAAATCCCTCGTTTTCCATTCCCAATTTCGAGCGAGAATATGGTTAGGCATTTTTCCTTTTTTTTTTTCTCACCATTCAACCAAGCACTCAACTTTGATTTCGCTCAAAAACCTTTTATTTTATTTTATTTTGATTTCAAAGCGCCTTATGAAATTTCCTCGATTTCTTTTCTCAAAATTCGAGCAAAAAAGTAACCAAGCAGTTGTCTTTGTCACCATGCAACAAAACAATTTTTTTTCAACCAAACACATTCAATTTTGATTTCATTCAACTATTTTTATATTATTTTTATTTTGATTTCAAAAGTCTTAATAGAACTCCCTCGAATTCATTTCTTATCTCGAGTAGAATTCGTTTAGGCGCATTTTCCTTTTTTTTTAGCCCACTATGTACCATAGCATTCATTGATTTCTTACAATTAAAAAAATTTTTTGATTTCTATTAATTATACTCAACCTATACCATCAACACCATTCTATTTTTCTTTTATATCACCAGCAATGTTTGTATATAGCCCCTTCATACCCACAACTAATTTTCCCACAAAATTATTTTTCACTTTACAGAATTCTCTCAGGCTAACCCCTTCTTGAATTCTTCACATGTAGGGGGCGCATCTGTCATAATTTGTATATAATTGTATGCTCCCCGACCCACTATGCATGTACAAATGTATGATTTTCAAAGATTTAATAAAAGAATAAGGTAACTGGAGGAAAGAAAGTAACAAAAGACATAGGAAATAGGCCTAAAGCTGGCACGACTATTCTGGGCACCCCTGTGTCAATATTGCAGGGGCAGAGACCGGACGTCTCTAGTGACCGCAGAAGTTATATTAGTCGCGAAGCACTCAATACTTCCTGACAAAGCAGGACGTATCTGGTATCCACAGAAGTTATATTAGTATAGAGACACCCCATACTTCCGACCCAAGACCGGACGTATTTTGATAACGCGGAAGTAAATAAAATCGAAATAGCAACCGACACTTCCTATCAGGCAGGCCATATCTTTCACCAAAGAGAACCGCGGGCCAATCAGAAGACAGCACATTAAGTAGGTCAACCAATAGGAAAAGATCATGTGATCCTCTCTCAACCAATCAGAGAGAAACTGAGTCTTGGTGTTAAATCGAAAAGTAAGAATTGAGTTATGTTTTTGCTCTCATAGGAACAACACCTACAGTTGTTCAGTGGCTCTCGCCGAGTTCGGACAGTTGCTCCTTCGCTTCCAACAAGGTAACATCTACTCTAGAGATCTCTCTCTCTCCGCTCATTTCATCTAAATCCAATCATCGCCATGTGATCAACTAATTAATAAGTCAAATCGCTCAGCTCTTCTCAAGCTTTCTTCCCTCCAACCCAGTTGCCTTTTATTTTCAAACCCAATCACGTGTCCTGATTATTCCTAACTGTATGCTTAAACTTCCACTCAAACGACTGCGTTTCAACCAATCCTCACCATTCAAATCGAACAACAAGAAACCCCGCAACGATATTGTCACATATATATCTTTATGGAGATTGTTAATTAGGAAATGTTTAAAAATTTGATAATTTCCTTCATAGAAATTCTAAAGAGATATATTATAGAATAGCATATTGTTTCTTCCATATCAAATTTCTAAAAAAAAAAAATCGAAATTCTACTTTAGGCCTAAAGAAATACGTCATTTGACAAATATAAAAAAAGAAAACCTTTTTATTTATTCATTTTTAACTATTTGAATTGAAAATACATCCAAATATTTAGTTTAATACTTTTTCCAATCGTCATAAACCAATAAAAATAAAAAATCAATAAATCCAATTTTGACCAAGAGGTGTGGAATTTTAAACTAACCAATAAGGAGGCGAGGAGAAACAAATATAAACATGCAGAGAGCGGGCAATATATGGGCGGGAAAAATTAGGCCTAGAAACTGACTTCCTAATGGAACTTTTCTCGGTGAGTGATTGGTTGTTTCTAAATATATACCTTCACGGGGAAAGAAACCAAATTTTATCAAATTCTCCAAGCTTAAAGTGATTTTTTAAGTTCGTATTGTTTTTTTTTCTTCCTCTCTCTCCCCTCACCCCCCACTTTCCCGCCTTTTTGTGGGAAGCAGTCGATACATCTCCCCCTAGCGGTAGGTTCCCTAATGAGAAATGTAATTCGTTCTTTAAACCTCGTCAATTTTGGACCAACCGACTTTTTTTTTTCGCTTCTGACCTCAAAATGACTTCATCAAATTCTACTTTAAAAAAAAAATCGCATTTTCTCCCCATTTTTTTTAAAAGTCCGTTCTCTCAACTTAAATGATAGTTTTACGTTATAGGAAATTTAGTGTAATATACCGAGTGATCTCTCTTTTACCGTGTATGTGTGTGGTCAAATTTTAATAAAATATTATTAGATGTGGTTAACCGCGCCATCTGTCGACAAAAAAAAATATATTTACATAATTGTTTTTATCAATGGCAGGGAGAGCTGTTACACCAATATATATGTTTAGCAATCAATAGAGATTTATGCAATAAACTTATATTTGCAACCTATCATTGAAATATGCAAATAGGATACAATTATCTCTTCTATATGTAAATAAGATGATGCATTAGCGCGCCATCTGTTATGAGAAATTGTAACTATTTTAGACACGTATGATTCTTTTTAAATTTAAGCAATTTTCTACTGTCTATACTGCAATGATGGATTAAAGCCAAGGCTCTCCCAATAATTTAACATTGCAATAAGAGAATTATAAATTTGTTTAATATTAAAAAGAAGCATACGCGTTTAAAACAGCGTCTATTTCCCATGTGTAAATAAGTTGATGGGGGGTCGGTGGAAGGCTGTGTTAGCATTTTTATAAGTTGTTTTTCATAGATTAATATATTTATATTTTGACCAGAGATGACCGGACGACTTTGCATGTATATATTTGGTTTTAGAAATGATGTAAATAGGAATAATAACTACACAACTCCAAAATTACATAAACAGTATAACCAAATGGTGCAATGATTGGAAATTAGACATCAACCCAAAAAAGTCTCAGGCAATAATTTTTCCTCCACTTGACAATAAAAAATTCAAGCCACAATCCATCCTAAAGGTAAACCAGAGCCGTATTAACTGGACTGACAGCGTTAAATATCTTGGAGTTACCTTAGACTCCAAGTTGAAATTCAACATGCATGTCAAAAATATCATAAAGAAAGCAAAAATCGCAAAAATAACATTATCAAGCCTGTTCAACTATAGAAGCAAATTGACTACAAAACAAAAGTTTACTCTATACAGAAGTTGTATCCTCCCGATAGTAACATACGCACTCCCAATTTGGTGTAAATATATTACAACCACAAACAAAAACAGGATAAACGCATTTATGAGAATCTGCCTTCGGACAAGTATAGGAGCTCCATTCAACCTATCAAACAAGATACTGAAGGAGGACTTGAACCAACCCGATCTAGAAGATATGTACCAAACTTCCGTTAAGAAATTATACCTTCAAATGCAAAATTCAAATAATCCAACCATACAAGATATTCTACAAAATAAAGGAGATATCAATCCCCGACACTTAGTCAAGAGCTCATCGCCCAACAGCTGCCCTCCTGCAAGGCCTAGGGGGACCACTTCTACTCCACCAACTCGCCATGTGTAAATAGCCAGGACAAGGTGACTCGCGAGCAGTGCTCGAATGTAACACCTGTAAATTGAGACGATATAAATAAATAAATAAATGTAAACTAAGGGGGTTGGTGGAAGGATGGTCTAAACCGTTGGTTTTCGACCGCTATGATCCGGGTTCGATTCCCGCATTGGGCACTTTTTATCATTTATCAAGACTTCTGCGACAAGACTATTCTCGCAATTTCAAAAATCATCAAATCCAACTATACAAGAAATTGTTCAAAATCAAGGTGACCTCAGCCACCGAATCCGACGACCTGGACCCAATGGCTAGCTGACAGCCAAACACCCAACAACTGCCCTCCTGTAAGGTTCGGGGCGCCACTCCAGCATTACAACTCGCCATGTGTAAATAATCTGGACAAGGTGACTCGCGAGCTGTGCTCGAATGTAACACCTTCAAATTGAGATGAAATAAATAAATAAATGTAAATTAGTTAGTTATGAAAAGGAATTAAAAGTATTAATTTCTTAGAGGTGTTGGTGATGACTCTGCTCGATGGTAGAAAGTCTTAGCTCTCAACAGGCTGGTTAAACCGTTTGGTTTTCGACCATTACGACCCGGGTTCGATTCCCGCATTGGACACTTTTTTCTGTTTAAAAAAAAAAAAAAATTAAAAATGCTCCAATGGCCCCCGATTCTTGCAAAAGTCCAACCCCACCAGCGAGTGCAAGTAACCCAACGGGACTCTGGCACATTTGTAAGTGCAAAGTCGAACTGCTTTTCACATGTGTAGACATGTGGTGCGCTTACAGTAAAAAGCAATCGCTAACTACCCAGCATGGTTATCATGGCCTGTACCACGTGTACTAGGGATAAGCAAAAAAAAAAAAGTTGATTAAGAAAATGGCTGAACCTTGTTGATAGTTTGCGTCTTCTATCAAATAAATAACAATTATATACAGTAAAGGACACTACTTCCCTTTAAAGGACAACACCTAATTACAGAGCCAAAGTGTCCTTTAGGGAGAGATGTCCTCTTACTGGAGAGTTTCTAAATAGTAAAAATGGTATATTTGGTAAAATGGAAACTGTCCTTTGTGGAATATGTGAAAGAAAAACATTTTTCGAGAGATTTCTCCATCTCTTTATCAATTGACACTAACAAATTTAAAACTCCATTTCTCTCTTTTACATACATTACTATTATTATTATTAAAAAGCTTTTAAAAAATCATATCTACATTTTAATATATTCTTATATTTTATCCCTTTAATTTATAATTTTTTATAATAATTATTTTGTATATATATATATTTTTGACCAATGACAAAGTTATTTCCATGTGAGTTACAAAAATATTTCGAGAGATTTTTCCCTCTCTTTATCAATTTATTACATAATAAACTAATAAAAATTTATCATTTTTTATTTCACAGATCCAGGTACGTTCTTTTTTAAATATACAAGGTGCGTTCATTAATTTCCAGGACTGCTCTGTATCTTTAAAAAAATAAAACAAATAAAAAAACTAATTTAATATTTTTCAAAATATGCCCCTCCTGCCTCAATACACTCGTTCCATCTTTTTTTCCAATTGTCGAAGCAGGAGATAAAGTCACTTTTTGAGAGGTTCCTCAAGGTTGCCTTCGATTCAGCTTGTATCATATCAACGTTGTCAAATTTCCTTCCTTTCAAGTTCATTTTCAATTTTGGATAAGAGAAAAAGTCATTGGGGGTTAAGTCGGGGGAATAGGGTGGATGAGGGATCTGTATGGTTGAATGCTTGGCCAAGAACTGCAAAACAACATGGGCTGTGTGCGGCCGCGCATTACCGACGTGAAGTATCCAGTCATTGTTTTGCCATCTTTCAGGTCTTTTAAGGCGCACTGCCTCCCCAAATAGTCCAGTCTCTGGGGATAAGTCTTTAATAGAAATTCTTCTGTTAGATTTAATTAACTCCTTTATTTTGAGCTTGTTTTCCTCGCAACGAAATGATCTTGGACGCCCAGTATGCTGATCATCGTTTACCTTTTCTCGACCTTTTTGGAAGCGTGAAAACCATTCAAAAGTTCTTGAACGGGATAAAGCTGCATCGCCAAAAGCTTCTTTAATCAATTCATACATCTCACTAGCACTTTTTTTCAATTTAAAACAAAACTTAATGCAGATTCTCTGCTATTCGAAAATGGCCATTTAAAAATTAGAAATGCGAACCTTACAAGGAAGTTGTTTTGTTCTATTTTTAGATCGGCGCGTGCGCCACGAGACTCGTGCTTTCAGTCAGGTGTGGTCGAATGTCCAATATTCAACTCTGTAAAAAAATATTTTCTCTAGCTTTTTTATTTATTTTATTTTTTAACCAGTCCTGGAAATTATTGAACGCACCTTGTATATATTTAAAAGAATATGTAAATTACTTCTAATACAGAGCAATACCGCGCCAAATATATATAACACATGAAAACATTGAGACACGAATGTTTCTTTTATAGATAAATCAAACTTCTACTATCCTTACTGCGATGAAAAAAAATATAGGGAGGGCTTGGCTCATCAGTGGTGAACTCTCCCAGCGGTTTCGCCAATTTAATCTACCAGACCGCTTCTTTAGAGCTATAATACTCTAAGTTATATAATATTCTAAGTTTTTCTTTGTACGTGTGTGCTCAATATATTGATAAAGAGGGAGAAATCCTTCGAAATATTCAGAAAAAATTTAAACGTTTTAAATATAATATCAATATTATAAAATAAATAAAAAATTCCAGGGTTAAGTTTCTCCATTTCTTCCAAATCCATATTCTTATTTTCCATAGGATCATTCAAATAATAATCTGTATATATTTATCATGTGTATATAATCTTTCTCCATTTTTACCCCTTTGTATATTTCCTACTTTCATAGGTTTCTCCGTCTTGTAACCCCAAGGAGAATCCTCTGTAAGACCTGTGTGTCTTAATAAAGGTTTTTGTGTGTGTGTTGTGTGGGTTAAGTTTCTTGTTCAAATTTTTATTTTCAAGCTTTCGGACTTGTTAGTCCTTCAACAGGATTGTCACGATAATAAATAGATGCTATATATTATTTTATATACAAACTAGACGAATGGCCCGGGCAACGCCCGGGTTTTACCCGAGTGCGTATATATTTTAAAAACGGTTTAATTCAAATACTATTCGTTACAATTATAAATTGGCGCCGTGGATGTCTCTCTTGTGAAACGTCCCGCCCCAAACTGTGTGTGTCTTGAAAATATAAAAATAAAAATGTGAATTTTCATAAAGATTTCATCATGTCGATTTTTTTTTTTTTTTGCATTTCACCTACTAAATCGATAGAGATAATTACATTTGCAACATGAACTTAGGTATATTGAATAAATAGAAAACTGCATAGTAATAAATTAACTTTATATTAACTTTATGAACGGAAAAATATGTCCAGGGTAGCCTAGTGGTCATGGCATCTGCCCGGTAGGCGGAAGGTCGTGGGTTCGATTCCCTTGACACTTTTTTATTTTATCCATTCTGACCAAAATCTATCCGTGAACTTCACACAGACAGAATAAGGCAATTATATAAGTAGATTAAGTTTTACATATTTAAATATTAATGATATTGAAAGGGGGAAAATATATATTACATTATTTGGAGCCAAGACCTCCCAATATTTTTGTCATCGCAGTAAGGACAAGCTTGATTTATCTGTAATAGAAACACTCGCGTTTTAATGTCAATTTATTTAAATCTTCTGGATATTATTCAAACAAGAGGTTTCTAGAGATGTGTTTATTTTATCTTTGTTAAATGTAATCTCAAGCTTTCGGATATCTATGTTCTTCTACAGAGGAGTACATAGAAACATATAAATCTTAAATCACACACACAAAAACCTTTATTAAGACACACAGGTCTTACAGAGGATTCTCCTTGGGGTTACAAGACGGAGAAACCTATGAAAGTGGGAAATATACAAAGGGGTAAAAATGGAGAAAGATTATATACACATGGTAAATATATACAGATTATTATTTGAATAATCCTATGGAAAATAAGAATATGGATTTTGAAAAAAAAAATTTTGGAAATATGAATGGAAGAAGTGTAGAGCGAAAAGAGGAAAAAAACAGGTATTTACATATGGAACATACATATAATGGAACAAGTCAATTTAAGCTCTTCTGCTCACACAGCACAGGTGGACCATGGCTTTTTCAAGAAATCTTTAAGAGATTTTCCAGGAAATAAATCTTAAATTTTCGTTTATATGTTTCTATATACTCGTGTAGACAAATTGACAATTAAAATAATTTTATTGACATCTTGTCAATACATACACAGTCTGTACTGTTTAAAAATATATAATATGCATTATATATACTATGTACAATGAAAAAAACATAAAAAAAGTCGGTGGGCAACACGCTCGATTCCCGACAGTCATGAACCGGGATTAAATCCCACGTTAACATTTTGTCTAATATGTGAATAACCTTTATATATATTTTTCACTGTTTCAATTATCATAAACTAGGTTGTTCTTGTTGAGCGGTACCTAATAAAGTGATTTTGAACCGGTACAATGAATATACCGTCTCTACCACTGTTGCAGAGTTTGGTGGAGAATCGCCAGTGGGTCTCCAGCGACACCACGTATTTCGTGATCTACGAAGAATACGTAGATCACGTGCTTCACCGCTGAGGAGATGGCGTGGTCCTCGAGACCAACTTTTACTCCAGTAGAAGGGCAGAGATGTCTGAAAGCTCGAGATCACGTTTAATAATGTTGTGTTCCATTTTGACGAGGAAAGAGAAGACTAGAACATGGCTGATTCCATACTTGGTCTGTTCAGTGATAAGTTAACCTTGACGTATGTATGGTGTGTTCACTGGACATATGTTGAACCTGTAAGCTGTTGTTGGGTTCTGGAGTCCTATTGGAGCGTAGGACGGGTTTAACAAAGTCCGAACGGGAGGGCTCGGTCAGCAACCTTGCCATGAACTCTCGGAGACGCCTGTAGGTTTGATTGGTCGACCCTATGGAGCCAGACCATAATGGCGGGCGCGAAGGGCCAAACAATGGCCGCTCGGTGCATGGAGAATGCATCATTCCCTTCTTGCTGGGTGACCTGGATGTCAGCAATGGGTGTGCTATCGCATGCTCCGGTTTATGGACCGAAAGGTCTGGGTGGCCACTGCTCCTAGGATGTTGTTGGGTTCTGTGCTGTCTGGACTATTGGAGCTCCATCTATGCTTCCTTTCTTCCTATTGTGAATCTGTATAAGACCAGTGGTCTTAATAAGCTTTGTGTGTTTAATAAAGGCGGAGGTTGATGTGGAATAGGAGGATGGATCAACCAGGTTGATGGGGTCGTCCTTGTTGACTCTCTGTTCTGTCAGGAACACCCTGTCTTGTGGGGGTACTTGAGGGCGTGGAGGACCATCTTGGAGTAGGCCTGTGGGCTCATGGTTACCTCGGACATCTTGGCTGCTGGTGATATAAGACTCTTTTAATATGTAGATAAAGTTTAATAGAGTAACTTTAAATATGAGTAACCAAAATTTATTCAATTCAAAACTCCAAAAGAAACCGGTAGCATTTGTTTAATGTTTTATATAATATATATGGCTTTTTGATGATTTCT